AGTAGTTGTGTGTGTGTGTGTGTGTGTGTGTGTGTGTGTGTGTATTGTATTTTATTATTTAAATTATGTTGAATATGAAGATAAATTGAAGATATTATGTTGAAGATAGATTGCAACTTATTGAGAAATTCTCATTTATGTACGCATGGAATTTATATGTTTAAATGTATAAATTATATTTTAATATACGTAATATTATTAAAACTTGTAAAATATTTTATAATAGATATGTATTATTAATATAAAAATTGATCAAATCTAACAAACTTTTCAATACAAAGTTGTCAAGTTGCTTTAGTTTATTGGCAGATTGAAATAAAGTTGGTCACAAAAACAATGTGGTTTAATGAGAAAGCAAGCAAACTATGTAGTTGCAAGTATCATGCAACATAGATGGCCAATAAAACATGTGAGCAGCATGTCGTGTTGGCAGTTATAAATTTATACACATATGTCATTCATGTTAAAGCATTTCAGAAAAACCCTGGAGGTCTTCACATTTCATGAACAAGCATGCAAGTCACTTTTTTATTGGTTGTCCAATAGAAAACAGCAAAATATACCGACGTCGGCTTATCGAATACATCCCAGGTTTATATAACATAAAATGTTATTCCCATATGATTCCTTGAGTCTTGAATATTGGAAAAGAGAAAAGTCGCTTGTTTCAACATAGCATTTTTACCATTTATTATTTTTATACGTAGTTGTTTCATAAATTTATAATTGCCAAATATACACATATGTCATTCATATTAATAATTTTGTATGTAATATTTTTATTTATAAAAACATAAAAAACAACTTAGAATTAAAGTATATAATTGAACAAATTTATTAGATATCTTTTTAATTCATCTCGTTATCATATTGAAGATTATATTACTTCAATTTTCCATAAGAAAAGGACACAAATGATGTAACATATATTAAGTATACAGTTTTATCTTTTATAATTTATCTATAAATTTCATTTTCAAATAAGTATTTTTTTATTTAATTAATGATTCTTTGAACCAATGTATTTATTTTAAAGTCGAATCTTTATGAGCCGAAAAAATATTCAATAAAAGATTTATTTACGACACAAAGAGTAGCAATGATTTCTACATCGATAAATCTGGAACAAATATACCTAAGGCGAACTTGACGCCGGTCCAGGCTTGCCTCACGTAGTTGATTAACCTCCTGTAGAGAGGCCTTGGTGGTCTCTTGGTGGAAGTTCCCTCCTCTTCGTCGCATGTGCTGTCGTTATCCAGCGTTCCCGGTGGCGGGCCTACGCCCGTCAGGGTGCCAGCTTGATTTCTCTCGCCGAGGATGTTCACGACCTCCCGCAGCCCAGGCGCAACGCCCTGCAGTCCTGGTGCGTAATTCGCGGGGGCGACGCCAGAACCAAAGAGGTTCGCGCCGCCCCCGCAACCTTTGCCGCGTCCACGACTTCCGCGACCCCAAACAGTGCCACTGCCTTCGAGAGTTTACAGTTTAAGATTTCGATGCCTTTACTTAGCAGTCCATAGGTATTTTATATAAGCGAAGAACCGGTCAATATTAAGATGATCGAATATTCCATTTAGTATTGCTCATTGTTCATCCAATCCTCAAAATAATTCGTGTGGTAAACAAATTCAAATTTCATTGTTATGGCTTAAAATATGTTAGTTTTCTTTTTTATAATTTGATCATTTGAATAAGCTGCTTAAATTACTTTTTAAAAAAAGTATAAGTTCATAAATTAGAACTATTCAGTTCTTAATCGAGTTATGACTTTCGCGTTCGAAGAATTTATGCTGTGATTTATGAAATGACGAGATAGTGTTATGACGTAATATATAGATGTTCTCAAGGGTGCCATTTACTTTAAATATATAACACGGTATATATCATATTTTACGCGTCATATTTTACAATTAACTAGGACTTGGAGAATTTTGAATTCTTAAGGATAAATCCAATAAAAGAAACAATGAATTATTCACTATAACATTATTATGTTTAAAAAATATACAAATATTACAAATAATAATGCTAATATTATCGTTTAAACTGATTATTTATTATAATATGACTTTACTCAGATATAACTCTTTCTATTTCCTAATTTAATGACGTTTAATTAAAACTTATTCAATTAAAAAGTTAAAAACATCAAAAAAAAAACAAAAAATATTACATATATTATAAAAAGAAGATTACTGTATTTTATTTTATACGATATTAATAAATTAATGTTTTAAATTAATTTTAATTAGCATTAAAATATATTAAAAATTTTACGTGTTGAATTATAATAAACAATATTTAATAAGCCATGCAATTTAAAATATTTCTGTTGTTGCAACGTGAGATATTACTTTTCGTATGTATTTAGTATTCGATTTTCACTCTTCAATTATAATGAGACGCCGCAGTACCTTGGCGCTTTTTATACGAGGGAAGCCCCACCACGGGGCCACAACCCCCCGCACTTCCTGCGACAGAAGAACTGATGGTGGCAAGACAGGGAACACCCCGACCGCCACCCGTCCGACGTTCCAAATCACGACGTCTGCAACCCCCTCCGCCCCCACTGCCACCGCCACCCCCGGCGGACAACACCACGACGGAACCAGAGATACGTTTGCACAATCTTCTTCCCGCGGAACCCTTTCTTATCGACGAAGGCCCCGCTCGTTTATGTCGTCGGAGTCGCCACAGACTTCCACGGGGAATTCTGTAAGGCATTTCGTAGGGTTTTCATCTTGCGGCTTGCGGATCATTGTCTCCTCATTTTATTAATATATAATTTTTATTTCATCTTTTTCATTTCTTTTTTATGCGTGTCATGTATATTCTTCTTTTTAGTAATTTCATATCTAAAGTTTTATATATATATATAAAGTTTGTGTGTTAGAATTTTATATAAATATAATAATACAAACTACGCGCAGTAATATTAACATGTTTTTATAAAGTAATATATTGTACAGATTTTTTGTTCGCCTTAGTGACTCTCGCCGCGATCGATTTCTCAATAAAAGCTGTATGGATGTGCGATGTCAGCGAATTTTCTTGCTTTTTCCGCGCTTTTCATATTCCGTCTGCTCTCACCAGAAGCGGACTTTCCGGCCGGATACACCTGCACTCTCGAAATTCACGTCAAATCGTCGACAATTTACAAGAATCGCAATTTAGAACGGAAGAATCTTTCTGCACTATAATTTTAACGCATAATCCTTTTTACGGGAAGAAGTTTTTTATTTAATGCAAAAGCTTCAAATTATATGTAATTATTAACATTATACTACTTAACAACTATTTAATGCAACTGTTGCACATAATGCTTTCAATTTACGAATCTCTTCATCAAAATAATATTATCAAGATTAACAAGTGCATCCGTGCATACATTTATATCAAATTTTATTAAAAAGTTTCAAATTAAATAATCAAATACATATTTAAAGAGAAAGATTTTGTTTAAAAATTCTATCAAATGCTCACCCTAACACCTCTTTCAATACTTGAAACACGTCGCCGATGTCACGATTTCTTTCAGAATCGAAAGATTCAAATCAATTCTCACGATAGAGAGGAATTCCCTGGATTAGATTATAGCGACCCACAATTTATTTAGTGGCTCGGCAAATTTATTCATTGATTGATATACGGGCTTGCCCCTGTTCTTTATTGCGCAGGATGCAATAAACCCTTTTCACATTCAGGACTTAGGGCGTTGGCGTGGGCCCTGGACGAGATCATAATGCTTGTTCTCGAAAGATGTAGTTGGTTAGTGTGTTGTGAGTTCGATTGTGTTAGTATCTGAAACAGGCAAAGAAAAGATACATGCATTAGTTGTGTTTGTGCACGAAATTCTGACGAACTGGGAACATACATAAATTGTATAAGAGAAATAGATGAGAAAAAAACAAAAAAGATGCAATTTCGAGAATATATTTCGAAAAATTATAATATCAATCAAAGTATTTGAAAATAGAAACTATAAATAAAATAGAAACTATAAATTTTTGTTCATATTATGCAAAATAAAAACAGAGATAAATTATTTGCCTCAAAGAAATTACTAAGTTTTATTATATTTTAGATTAGTTATCTAAATTTTTTTAGAAAAATGTTCTTATTTTGAAATATAATCGTTCGTAAAATATAATCAGTCACGTTTTTAAGAAAAACTTCTTCCTATAAAAGATATTCTATTATTTTTTTCTTATAAAGTTTTTATTATATATATTTAATGCAAAATAATGCTTTTATAACTTTATTGCCTTTTTAAATTTAGCTTTAAAAATTTATTTTAAAAGATAAAAAAATAGTTTTTGAAATAAAAAACACTTCAAGTACGAATATAAAAAGATTGTATAATACAATACATTTTTATTCAAATATTTTTAATGTTTTTCTATTATTTTTTTTTTGCATAATTTTTACCAGACGTGATAACTACTATAATTAACTTTTTAACTTAACGCATCGAATTGAGGTCAAGTTGAAGAAGAATTAAAAGGTAATGAGCTCATTTTTCTGAATTTAATGCGAATTCCATAATGACTGCCTATAAATTCACGTGACAGCGTGTTCCGATTGTCACGTTTGAGATCAGGAAATATATAGAATTCGATATTTCACTCTACCACAATGGCCTCTTTATCTTAACCAGGATCTAACGACTAACTGCAGCATGCTAACAATTAACGAGATCACCAATTTCGAAAATTTATATCAATGTACTTTGTGCACTTTAGATGTAACAACCCTACCATAAAGTTCACAAACATACCATTTGATGTAAGTCAGAATGATAAAATGGTTACTAGATCGCTCGTAAAGCTACTTGTTCCGCTTAAGTGAAGTTCTTTGAAATTGCTTTGAAATCGAAGAAGTTTCAAGCTATACGTTTCGTATGCATATGTGAACTTTCTTAGTAAAAAACGGACAATGAATGCCATAATTTTCCGGAGATTTATTGAAATAAAATGTCTTTAAACGAAAACTTTTGCCTAAAGTTCTGTTACTGTAAAAGAAAGAGACTTAGATGAGAGTATTTAGAAATTTATCGCATTTTGTAAAAATTTTTTTAAAATAACTGTATATAATAATAACAACACATTTGTTTTCATAAATATATAAAAAATTTTTGCTAAGTATTTGTACATTGCATTTGACAGCAGCGCTTGCAACACGCACGTTAACAAAGTTATTGAAGTTCGATAGTGCAATCGACTCGAAGTTGATAAAACCGTAATCAATTTCGCGTTATTACCAAGTAGACGATGGAAACTGTGTTCGGTATCGTCATAACTCTTCGCGATATGAAACCGCGAATGAAAGAGAAAAGTGCAAAATGAGAATAAGCTCGACGGTTCGAGATAAAGTTTAAGCACTTTCGTGAGTTTGAAAATCTTCAAAGAAAAAGGAAGCGGCTACGAAGTAAAGGAATGTATTCCTTACCTAAAAATATAACTCATCGCATGATGGCTCGTTGAAAGCAGCTGGCCTTATCATGTATCTTTTAGTACATAAAAAAGCTAAGATTGATATTATATTTACATCCGCAAGTTATACGATCCTAGATCCATCGACTGCATTACAGAGAAAACTTCTATATAACTTAATGGACTATGGAAACAAATATTTCTTTCTCTGTTTCTGATTTAGACTAGAAAAATAAATCAGGAAATATGAATACACTTTTGACATAAAAGGAAGATTAAAATCCTTATATTTACATATTTGATATCAATTTTTATAAATTAAAGAGAGCTGCATTAAAACTGTAAAATTTTATGAATAATAATTTTATTACCTTTCTTTGAGATAAAATATACATATATAAATTATAATGTTTTTTCATAATGCGCTATGTAAAAAATAAAAAAATATTAATTTATTTGTATTTAATTTAACTTCAAAAGTAATTTGCTTACATTATTAACTTTGTCATTCTATATGAATAAAGAAATTCAGTAACTTCGTTTAATTTTACCCATGTGTCTTTCAAATCCCAAATTAATATATGTCAGAAGATATGATGAGCAATTACTGCGGTTCTCTGCGGTATTGCGAAGAGCATGTGCTTATTTGCTACCTTTGTAACAGGCTCTGTGACCTTTGGAGTTTATATCGAGTTAGTCCGAGATTATAGTACAGTGACGTAAGATAGCGTCTAGGAAGCTTTTGACATCGTTGGATGGCCCACTATTACCATGTTCATGTCACGTAACTACGGGAATGGTTTGTCCTCTAAAAAAAGAATCATGCGGTTTATCAAACTCGCTTATCGATTGTGATAATTTTTCTTTTTCCCTATATCTTATCTCTGATTTAGTAGAATGGCTTGTGCTTACGTGGAATCTAAAAACAAGATAAAATATGAGAGAATATGAAATCATGCCATGTGGAATGTTGACTTATATATAAATACTTAAATTTGAGAAGAATATTTTTCTCAGAGTAAATTGAGAAAATACATAAATAGAATAATAAAAAAAAATTGTGAAAAACATGAATTTCATGGAAAATAAATTAAAATATTTTAGCTACAATAATAATCAAGCGAAATAATTAATAGATAGATATTAACATTGTTGTCTATTACGATGATGTATTACAATTAAAATGTAAAATTATTTTATTAAATAACACATTACATTATTTTATTAAATAATTAATTAATTTATTTGCCACATCAGATAGATTGTTATGTCAATTATAAATAAATATTAATAATATTCGATTAACATATTCTAATAACACAGTAATATTACGCAGCTAAAAGTATATCTCACTTTTGATTATATCAAACTATCTTTATATGCCACGTAATGTCAACATTCTTCTAGTGAGCAAACATTCCATCGAGTCTGCTGATCTAAAAAGAAGCTCTTCCACTCGTCGTCGTTGTAGACCAGAGTGCCATCCAAAATCTACTTTTATCTCCTGGGGCGACCATCCCTTCACATTACTCGGTTTCCCTTAAGTTTTACCTCACGGCCATCTCGATTGGCCACTTTTCTTTTCTTCCAATTTTCGTCCTGGTTTCTTACTCTTCCTCTCTGATGTGAGTCTTACTATGATCTTATGAGCGTTAGAGATAAATTAAGAAAGAGAATATCTTCCCAAAAAATAAAAAGGAACTAATTAATTAAAAGGTACAAATAAATTAAAATCTAAACTTGTAAAATAGATGCAATCTTCTATAACATTGTTGAAGAGGAAATAAAAAGGTAAAAATAGTAGGTATGTCGTAATAGGATTAATAAGTTTAATAAAATAATAATTTAAAATCAAATACTTTTTTTAATACAGATTTAATCTTTCAATTTATCGTAATGAAAATAAATGTCTGCATATTAAATTCCTTGAATCTAATTAAATCTACCGTGTATTAATAAAAATTTATTTTTCAGAAGTATTTAGGTATTAAATGCATAAAGTCAAAATAATATGTACTAGGTATAACAATATAAGAATATCTACATTCTTGTAAGGAGATTATTTTGCATGCTCACAGATGACAAACATTCTATGTCAATGTAGCCCGACATTATCCCAATGTTCTCGTGACGTCAACGCATTACACGGAGATGCGTCCCCGTGTCAGATAATCCGAAATAGACTTAGTACCCATAGATCACATCTCTGTACTCTTGTCTCGCCGCACGTTGACTTGTCTGCTCGCATTTCGGCGTGCCCTCTTGGTCGTCGTGATAAATCAAGCTTTAAAC